CAGTGTTGGGCACCATACCCGACTCAATCCCATATGGTAACTGCTCTTCTCCAGGTCCAGCGACTCCAGGAGCTCCTCTACTGCCTGCGGGGAGGGAGAGGTGTCAGAGCCAGGCTGGTGGCACCCCGGGGTGCAGGGGACCCCAGAATGCAGCGCTGGCCCTGGCACAGGACACATACGCGCTTCTCATTGCGCCCATGCTTCTTTGTCAGGTGTGGGGCCAGGACATCGAAGCGCCGCCTGAACTCCGCAAACACCATGTGATCGGGGTACCCTGGGGAGCAAGGGAGAGCAGAGCTGTGGGGACAGCCAGGATGCCTGGGGGGTGGCTGGGGACAGCCCCACTTGCCCTGACATGCTGGCACTCATCTCATGGGAGAGCTGAAGGGGTCACCCCACATGGCTCAAGCTCCCCATCGGGACAGGCACAGCTGGGATGCCCTGAGCCTCCCCAGGAGGTTTTCCTTGGCTGTGTGCTCCAGCAATTTTGGCTGGGATCTGGGGAGAAAGCGGCCAGATCCTGCTTTGGGGGGAGCACAGGGACACGTGTGTTGCCTGTTGCTCTGCTGTGAGCTGCAGCCAACTTCTGCATCAGGCTCCACCATTGAGCCTCCACATCTTAATTAACAATGGGGGATTGACAGGGATGCTGACCCTGGCACGGCTGGCTGGCCATGGCCATCGATCCAGGAGGTGTGTGGGTGGCATCGATTTCCAATCACGGCAGGAAGAGTCCAGCCTCCAAGCAATAAACCCTTGGCCAGGCGGTTGGCCATGCATATCGATAAATGCTTTGCTGAGCACGACCCAGAGGCCCTGGCTCCAGTGGGACAGGGGCTGGATGCCAATGGGACGGCTGCCAGGAGCCAGCAGCACCAGTGGAGACACCCAATTAAGGCCATGCCTGTGCCCAGCATAGATAACAGCTCCACGTGGGAGGGGGGACAGGGACAGGACTGCCCTGGGGAGACAGCTGGAGGCTGTGGGGCTCAGAGCAAGGGCACGTGCTGAAAGGGATCTTGAGGGTCTTTGGCTCCCCAGA